TTCATCAGCAAGAGCAAAACCAGCGTCTTACATCGCAGCTCGAAGACTTAAATAATTTTCCAGGTTATTTGTTTAGCTTTCTGACCGTCATGCTAATCCGAGTGAGTGTTTGTAGCTGTGCGCTGCTTTACCTGCCATCTGATCCTCCGTATGTCTTTTTTACTGCAGTGAGCCTCGATGTAGCCAAACTCCGTCAAGTATGGCATTGTTTTTATGCCATATTAGATTCGTTGTGTTGATGCATTTTGACGTGCTTCAATTGTCCGCCGCAACACGCAAACTTCCCCATTCACTCAGTGCGTTCAAGTTCCACATCGCTTAGGATTTGTTGCTGCGCGTTTGCGCAGTGTGAAGGAAAGAGGAGACCAGCTGCACAGGCAGGCTGCGAAATGAGATGCAGGTGATCGGTTTGTGTGATCGGCAACAAGAGTTCGTGATCGGCGATCACCGATCATACACTTTTTCACGGAAATCGGCCGATTATGATCGGTGGCCGATCAATCGGCACACCTCTATTATTTAGTTTGGTTAAGAATAATTATTGCACTGTCAATAAATGACTTCTAATAAATAGATGTTCTTAGTTGCCAAAGGAACATAGTAACACCTTCATGAGCTCAGAGGTTCAAACTGATGAATAAAGAGGATGGATCCTCTCTGCTAAAATATTTCTTGCCATCTTTCATGTTCTTTCAGCAAACAGTTGAGACAGAGCTGTTTTTGGTTTCACCACTATTTACCTACTATTTTACCTGCCATTCAAAATATTCTTAAAAGACTGTCTGTTAGTCTGCAGCTCATGTGACCAAACCAGTCGAGGAGATGAAAAGTTAAAGCTTGAGTTAAAATGTTGTTTTAACTTGAGATGAGTTAAAACTCAAGTTAAAATGATTCGTTTCAACATTTTAACTCAACAATCTTTACCTAACTAGAGGTTGTACACAACCTCAAGTTGGGTAACCCCAAAGTCTTCTTAAAAGGTAGAGTCTTTGAGAACGGTTCTTAAAAATATAGTCAGTGTTTTCAGTAAAGGTGAGCTAACTGTCCAGGAATGACACAAGGAATTTAAAATTTGCCAGTTTCAACAGGTTGGCCATCAAGTGAAACTGGAATCACTTTCAGATCTTGTTTATCTCATTTAATTAGCTCTACTTCCGTAAGAAAATGAAAAAAAAATTGTTTTATAAGAATTTATCTTTTACGGTACCAGTAATGCCAGAATTAATAGTAAATAATAAAGACGTTGTGGTATTCTGATTTAGTATTGTAATTATATTTATTGTGTTACCACCCACTGTTTTATAAAACACAGAAAGTGAACCTCTAAACGTTACAGCGCTGACAGAGAGTATATTTTTCCTAAATGTGGCTAAAGCTGCTGCTAGGTGGTTTACTCTCCGATCGGAGGCTGTTTATTTTATACACGGTTAGAGAATGGTGATTTTACAATAATTAATAACAGCTATCTAACACTTAAATGCTGTTATTATTAAACTTACCTTTTATTATATCCTTAAGATTATGAGAACGCGGGAATTTTTCAGCTTGGTTCCCAAGGCAAAATCACACCGGAAGTAAAGATACCCAGGTTTGAGTTATGGCGGCCATTGTCTGACGTCACTGTGAAAAGGGTCTATTTGCTAAAAAACTGTGACCTGTCACAAAGTAAATAAAAGAAAGAAGATCAAATACATTCTGAGAGTGAAACTCCTTCCTAACGGTGAAAATATATCACAGATTTAAAAAGAAAATAAAAACGCAAATATAGGAAATAGTGCCCCCTTCACTTCCGGATTGCAATGGTCTCATTTCCAAATAAGGTACAAGACTGACAAGTGGTCCGTCCCCGCCCCTTTCTGTCTGCTGCAGCGAGGTCCTTCTCGACAAGCGCGCCGAAACAAGCGCGTGCTTGCTACGCGCGTGCTTTCTTAGTGCTCATAACGAGCACACGCGTATTTTGCTGCGTGGGCGGGGCGGAGCGGCAAGAAAACGCAGGGGGAACCGTATCTGATGGGGAAACGCGGATTGACGCAACACGTGGATGATATGAAATTTATTTTCCGGCATTTTTAGTAAAGCTACATCTAAAGCAAAGCTGCCCGCAGTGTTCAGTCTATCCACTCACCTGTATAAGTAATCCCACCGTTCGCTCTGAATCAGCAGCTCCGGGAGGAGAAAAGCTGCCGTACTCCAAGCATTGCTCCCGTCATTTTAAGGATGTGTATTGGTCCCCCGAAAAACGACAAAAACTCATGAATCAGTAAAATCCTCCCAGACCGAACTTGAAAACTGGACATTATGCTGTCCGCCTGTGTTGTTGACGAAAGCTAAGTGTTAGCGTTTAGCTTTCGTCAACAACACATGCGGAAGTGAGAGTGCGGCGGAACGCAAATAACGACCCGGCCGGACCACGGTGCGCTAAATAAGACGTCGTGGCAGATAAATTTTCCTCGAGGAATTTTAATAATCGAGGTACTCGAATCACTCGAGGAATCGTTTCAGCCCTAATGTGCATTAATAATATGTAGGGCTATTTGTGATTTACAAACACAATTAAAGAAAACTAGACTTCAGTTGCAGAAACAAAAAAAAAAATATTTTTCTTCACCAATAAATATAAAAATAATTAACCAGTTTCTATCAATTGTTTTTATCCATTGTGTTTAATTTAATAAATTTTAATTAAATAAAAATTACAATAGAGCATCATGAGCAAGCAAAGTAAACTGCTGTACAGTCTTTCTCAAACTGTGGTCCCCGGACCACTGGTGGTCCGCGAGGTACTGCATGTAATTGATATTTGCCGTGATGTGAGCTCAAAGTGCAACGCTACAGCTAGGTTACCAAATAATTGTGTTAAATATAATGATGGAAAACTGGCTTAAAACCGCCGGATCACACAAAAGAAAAGCTGCATGTACCGGTGGAAAGAAAACAACTCCAGGAGTACTTATATGATCAGAAGAAGCTAAGCCATAGCTGCTAAGTGTTGATGTGTCGTTCACTAGCGATTGGATTGCTTTGAACGGCTCTATGCAGTGAGCGGTAGGACCCACTGTTCTCATGATGCTCTAGTTACACATAAGCTTTTTATTTAATTAAAAATTATGAAATGAAATTAATTAAACACAATAGATAAATACAAATGATAGAAATTGGTTAATTATTTTAATATTTAATGGTGAAGAAAATTAATTATTTTGTTTCTGCAACTGCAAGACAACAACGTGAAGGTTCTGGAGTGGCCCAGTCAAAACCCAGACTTCCATCCCATAGAAAATTTGTGGAAGGACTTGAATACGGCTGTTCACAGTTGATCTCCCCCCAACCTGACAGGTTGAAGAAATAAATGAGCAGCTAACTGAGAGTGGTCCACTCTGACTCCCTACTGCGGCAGCAGCCACAGAAACATCTACTAAATACAGAGTAGAAGGGGGTAGGTGTTTATACAATCACTTACGTTAAATATTTTTTTACTTAAGTGTTATTATTTTATAGAAATCAGTTTTCACTTTGACAATAAAATCAATTTTTCTCAAAAGATTCCAAATTTTGTTAATCATGATTAAAAGCAGGAAGGAGTAGAACATCCAAGGAGGTGAATATTTTTACAGGCACTATATTATCCTCGAAATTATACGAAGATGAAATCGACTTTTAATAAGAATTCTTTCTTTCCTACCCTCATCCCCCAGAAGCAAAAACAAATGTTGTAAAACATTTTACTGCATTGAATAATAAAATGTAGCCAGTAAAAAATGCCTTCTAATTACATTTTAGCATGGTAATTCCACATATACTAAAGGTTGATCTAGCCTGTGTGCTGCGTCCTAAACCCATTATTGAGCATAAAAACAAAAAGGTATTACACCGTAAAACCGGAAGAGAAGGAAACTTTATGCCGTTTTCAAAAAAGGAACATGAGAAATTCTCACCCCACGAAGGCTCTGGAGCACCGAAGGAGAACAGCATCGTCCTTCTCAGGTGTTTGACTGATGGAGAAAATAACGTCCGCCACCACCGTCATTTCTCTTCTTTCCAGCGTCTACGCGCTCAGCTCAAAATTTCAGACGCACAATTTATTCGGCGACAAATAAAGAGACCCAACATGCAACATTGGGTTTTATTTCTTCTTCTGGTGCTTTATGGCGGCTGGCAGAGCAACTATAAGATGCTTTACCGCCTTCTACTGGACTGGAGTGTGGAAAGCAAATCAACAGAACAATGAAATAAATCCTCTCTAAAAGATTAGTTTTTCCCCCCCTTCTTCCGTCGAAAATGTTTCGGTTTTAATTTCTCAATGTATCTTTAAACTACCTAGTTCATATGCATTGCATTCCATGAAAACATGCTGTACAAATTCAGGCATGCTGCAGTAATCACATATGCCTGTTTTATGTCCATTGATCATTTGTTTTGTTATGATCTGTTACCTACTTTAAAACCAAGACATATAATAATTTATGCCTATATTATCTCCTATTTTCTTGAATGCTTCATAAATATCATAATGGCCTACAATTGCCTTTATTTATCATTTACTATCTAATATTCTTAGAAAATGTTTAGCAGATAATTATTAAAAATTATTTTGCATTTCTTGCTTGGTGAAATTAAAACATCTTTATTTTTAAGATTTCAATGATTCTGGTAATCTCTGCATCCTAGTGTCCCTCCATGTTCAGCAATCTAAAAAAAAATGTTACTGCTACCATTTTAGTGTAATGCATAACTAGAAATGACAGCATATGAGATGCATAATAATGTATACATCTGCAAATCAGTTGTTAAAATTCTCATTCTGTATGACAAAAGGCATGCTTGTTATTTTTAGTTAGTTCACATTATGGTACTGTACATTACTCAAGTGTCTGTTGTAAATATATGAATGCATTTACATTAGGATGCAGAGAGTCAGAGTGAGGGAGAGACAGTAACATACATCAGTAGATATGTTTAATTAAATGTTGGATGGATATTGTGATTTAATACTATTGTAATTTTTTATGTATTTTTCTGCAATTGTTCTTTGCTGTCTGCAAAGCAAATTGCCCCTTAACAATAAAGTTTATCTATGTCTATATAACAACAGTTATTTTAATCTTATAATTCATTACGGTATTTCTTCAATTTCACCTTGTAATGTCACTGCTGGAAGTGTTATTGCTTACATTACTGATCAAGCTGCAATTGGTCTGTTAGGAAAATTATTATTAAGAAAATAATCAAGGCAGAATCAAATCAAAAGAATACTCACAAAATGAGTTTAAATGCTACTTGATCAAGAAGTATAAAATGAGGTGCTCTTACTATTTATGCTACTTTATAGTATGGGGTTCCATTTGTGTCAAAAATAAGTAGAAGTCATATGTGTAAATGTTGGTCTATGTTGTTGTTATGTATGTTTGGTAGATGTCTATGGTCTTAGTATTTATGGATATGTCAATGTTGCATGTAAACATATCACCTATATGCATCATATGTAGGTTATGCATATGTTAGATATTGCATATGTAAATGTTGCATATATTATGTCTCTAGCTGCGTTGTGGTTATTACTTACTGTCATCTTGTCAATTTATCTCCAGTAAAGCAGGGAACCCCTTGCAGATGTTTTTTTTATGTTACTCCCCCCTGTTGTTGGTTCAAGGAGTTGTCTGAATTTCTTTAACTTTTGTGATTGATCAATGTCATTGGTCAATGCAGTTAGGTCATGTCATTGGTCCTTGTCGTTGGTCAGTGTTGCCTTAGTGTTTTCAAAATGTTTAGATTTTTACCTTGTATTTTCTTCAGGCATTAATCTACTGCTCCATCCTGCTTCCTCCTCAAAGCGCTTGGTGGTTCACTTAGGGACTATCAACAAGTGTCCGAACCAAACACTCCTGACAAACAAATGTAAATAAATGGCTTGCCTTGTGGCCAACTGACACAAAAAAGCGGTAATTAGGGTTACACGAGACACACTATTCTCTATTGAATTTTTAAGTCATGTTCAATATTTTTAATTATTTGAATATTAAATATGTTTTCTGCAATAGCTTCCAAGTCATGTGACCTATTGACTCAAAATCAGTGTGAAATTGTTCTATTAAAGCGTGTAGATGAAGCACACTCATTTTTACTAAATTTTAACCTTTTATTGTTTTTACATTTTTTTGTCAAGATTTAGTCAAATTTTAATAAATGTATTTTAGCTATTTTTTGTCAAAATTTAGTAAATATAGTTTTTAGTAATTTTTTGTCAAAATTTAGTCCAAATTTTGAAAATTTTGACAAAAAAATCGCTATAACATATATTTACTACATTTTGACAACAAAATAGCTGAAAATATATTTATTAATTTTTGACAGAATTTTGACCAAAAAATGGCTAAAAATGTATTCACTAAATTTTGACTAAATTTTTACCAAAAAATTGCTAAAAAATATATTTACTAAATTATTGACAAAAGATAAATAAAAAGGGTTAAAATGGAGTAAGAATGAGTGTGCCTCACCCACACACACTTTAGTAGAACAATGTCACACTGATTTTGAGTCAACAGGGCACATGACTTGGAAGCTATTGAAGAAAACATTCTATTATTTAAAATTAAAATTATTTTAAATACTGAATATGACTTTAAAAAAATCAATAGAGGATAGTATTTTGTGTAACCCTAATTAGCACTTTTTGTGTCAGTTGGTCACAAGGCAAGGCATTTGTTTACATTTGTTTGTCAGGAGTTTGGTTTGGTTCGGAAATTTGTTGACAGTCCCTAAGTGAACCTCCAAGCTCTTGAGGAGGGAGTATTTTCTTAATGCCTGAAGAAAATACAAGATAGAAGTCTAAGAATTTTGAAACTACTGATATTGAAAGACCAACATTTTTGTAATATCTAATAAACACTTTGATCAGAGATGTCCTACTTCAATACTTATAAATGGTGAAGAGAACAGGCAACAGCAACCCTGACCAACGACAAGGACCAATGACATGAACTAACAGCATGGACCAACGACATTGACCAATCACAGAAGACATTCAGACAACTCCTTGAACCAACAACAGTAGCATCAAAAAACACTGCTTTACTACAGATGAATTGACAAGATGACAGTAAGTAATAACCACGACGCAGCTAGAGACATAACATATGCAGCATCTACATATGCAGCGAACGCATATGCAACATCGACATATCCATAAAACACTACGACCACATCTACCAAAGACACATAGCAACGACATAGACCAACAACATCTACACATATGACTTCTACTTATTTTTGACACAAATGGCCGGTGGGTGTGCGCGTATGCGTGCGTGCTTGCGTGTGTGTGTGCGTGTGTGTGTGTGTGTATAGTTTGGGTCCCAGGAGGGCGGGTGGTTGACATTCAGGGGGAAGAGTAGGAATGATGTCATTGTTTGTAGTCCGCTATAGAAGAACATGGCCGCAGCTTTCATCCTTTCTCTATCATTGTCAAATACTTAAATGCTAGTTGATAGTAGAATCCCACCAGGTAGGATTAAGGAAACAAGGCGGTGAATATCCTTTAACAGCTGGATAGCCGGCTGGATAGATGCTCATCAATCACTCAAAAATTAGACATAGACCTAAAACCTGGGGCAACAAGCACAATGCTACGCTCAGCCTGGATCTCTGGCTTTATCGTATATTATGAGAAGACAGCAGAGTAAAGGAGCAGGTGTGGTCTAGAAATGAAGAGTAAAGAAACACGTAAACGAGGTTTCGACGGACAAACGCTGCACTAAAAGAGAACTGGGGAGGAAGAGCAGAAGAAATCTACCAGTTTAATATCTTCTGATTACAATGATGGCAGCTAAGTCGGATGGGGTCTTGAAATTAAAGAGGAGCGATGTGGCCTTCACGCCGTTGCAGAACTCCGAGCACTCCGGCTCGGTGCAGGGGCTGCACCTGGGACAACAGACCGACTCGGCATGCACCCTGGACGTGGATTTTCCGAACGGGGAATCTCAGTGCTGCGGTCGGGGCGGGTCCAACTCGCCTTGCTTCCGTCTAAGCAGAGAACAGCAAAAATATGTGATATGGGACTGCTTGTGGATTGTTGCCGCAGTGTCAGTTTATCTGGCTGATGTAGGAACCGACGTGTGGCTTTCAGTCGATTACTATCTTCGCCAGGACTATTGGTGGTTCGGCTTGACGCTTTTTTTTGTGGTGCTGGGTTCGTTTTCGGTCCAGCTGTTTAGTTTTCGATGGTTCGTCGCTGACTTCAGCACAGAGGACAACGTTGAATCTGCCGTCGGTTGCCCCCAGTTGGACGGGAGTAAGCTACTGTTGAGCGGCTCGGCCTCTCAAAGCGATGTTCCCGTTCAGCAGCACCCGACCACACCGCAGAGGCAGATGTCAACTGCCAGCAAGAACACTGCTAGTAACAGCACCGGCAGTACGGCGATTGGCAGAAGAGGCACGAAACGGTCGCCCTATTACTCAGTCTGTGTGTGGTTATGCCAGTCCATAATACACGTTCTCCAGCTGGGTCAGATATGGAGGTAAGGTGATCGGTGTTCTCAGCACAAATTCTCAGCACAAATCTTTTTCCCAAGTCGATAAATTTTTTGCAGCTTTGTGTCTTAGTTACATTTTTGTTTAATATATCTGGTTTGCTCGCTTTGATTTAGCTGGCTTTAGACACATCCTTGAGAAAGCAGTTTGACAATTAACAATTAACAATTAATTAGTTTGTACAAAAATCACATGTAAATGTTGTTGGAACTATCATGTCAGCCTAATATTGAAAATTAAAATTAGCTTCTCAGTAGAGTAAGGGAAAACAATGTCAGTAAAGTATTAACAAATCTCTGAGCTTTTTTGCAGTTTTGTAACCATGGTCACTTACAACTTCTACAGTCGTCTGTTGTTGCCCAAAATGATTTCACTCAAACTATTAAAAAGTTGTGCTTCTTCTATGTCTACATAGAAGAAGACTGAGTGCTGTCAGCAGGCCTACCAAGAAATCTTTATTAGATTGCCTTTTTGACAGGGCAAGTGGAGAACTGCTTCTTTCAAATTAAAAGTCTCAAGCATAGATACATATTGTCAAATTTAAGCTTAAAAATATACATGTTGTCATGTCATTGTATCAATAACAAAGAATAAAAATACAAAGATAAAAACCCAAATACTACATATAGATATGAAATTAAGACAGCTTATGCTGTCAGGTAGAATGAGACAGGTCTAAGACCGGTTAGTGTTTTTTGTTGTGCAACTAAATCTCAGCTTAATTTAAACAGATGCACACTTAAATATTTAAACACAGTTCTTGCAATTTTAGACAAATAGAAAAACTATCAAAACTATCTTTTAAAGTAAGTATCTACCAAATAAACCTTGAAGTACATAAACCATGTAGACATTGTTTTGAAGTATTTTTCACAACAAAATACTGGGAATTTTTATGATCAGACTGCTAATTGATAAAGTTTTTCATTTCATCTCTTTGTTTCATGTTGCCACAGTTTAGCTCAGAAATGTGTTTTTTGTCAACAACAATAATCAAAAAAACGATTGTTCCAGTACCAGCAGTGGTTATCTTTCTGAGTGTTGGGCAGTCATCTGGCACAGCATTGAAAACACCCTACACCCCCACTGTAGACCACCCTGGTGAAAAATAAATATACTAAGTATGTTAAATTTTAGTTACTTTAAGTCAGACTAATCATGAG